CCCCAGCTGTCCACCCTGTCTACTCTGTCTCTGGCTGGCACAGACACACACAAACACACTCTCTGGGCTTCAACAACAAGCCAGGAAACACCCAGGGCAGACATGGCCTTTTCCATAGAGGTCTGGAACCACTGGTCATCCGAATGCAAAAAGAGAGAAAAGAATCTGGACACAAACCATAAATCCTCCACAAACATTAACTCAGACTGGGTCCCAGGACTCCGTGTCAGGGGCAAAGCTATGTGACCCTAGATGGTGATTCATTCATTGCCAGCAGGAATGCAGAATGGTGCAGCTACCTTGGGCGCCAGTTTAGCAGTGTCTTGAAAAAGTAAATGTACATGGGAGAAAACTGAGATGCGTTAGGATTTGGTGATGACTTTTGTATAGAGCTCCAGAGGCAGAGACCATGGAAGAAATCACTGATGAGCTGGACTTCATTGATTAAAATCTTCTGCTCTGCCAAATACCACATCAAGATGACAAGAGGATAAGCCCAGAAGGGGAGAAAATATTTGCAAAAGACACATCCAATAACGGACTATTATTAAAAATTTACAAAGAACTGTTACAATTTAATAAGAAAACAAACAACTTGATTGAAAAGGGGGCAAAAGCTCTGAGCACACACTTTACCAGGGACAGACACGGGCACGCGGGGGGGTGACTCATCCCAGAGGGGATGACACGCCACGGCAAACAGTGGCCAACATCTAGCACCTGATGACAAGTGCTGACGAGGGTGGCCACGCAGGGACACCCTTTCATCAGGGTGGGGGGACAGAATGCTGTGGCCATTTTGGAGGCCAGTTTGCCAGTTTCTTAGGAAACACTCTGACCGTGCACTCTGGTGATGGCAGTCCAAGGAGTAAAACTCACTTCACTCAGTCCCCCAACTTACAGAAAACTCACGTTCATACGACAACCTTCATGTGGGTGCTTACGGCAGCTTTGCTCACACTTGTCAAAACTAGGAAGGAACCAAGATTCCTTTAGTAGATGGATGGAAAAATAAACTGGTATGCCCAGACAACAGGGCATGATTCAGAGCTAAATGGAAGTCATGAAGAGACCCAAAGGGGGCCTCAAATGCACATTGCTCAGTGAAAGGAACCAGCCTGCAGGGAGGCACACTGCGAGGTTCTAGGTGCATAGCATTCTGGAAGGGGCAGCACTGTGGAGCCCATAAAAAGCTGAGTGGTTGCTGAGGTTGGGAAGGGCAGGAGGTACTCACAGAAGAGCACAGGGGTCCAGGGCAACCAACACTTGGTCACTAAGGGCAGGGAGGGTGGGAGGTGCTCACAGAGGATCACGGGGTCCTTGGCAGCTAACACTTGCAAGTGCAACTCTGTTCTGAAAAACACCAAATCCCACCTCTAGCCCCCTCCCTGCAGTGTGAACAGAGCTCTGCTCCCACCTCTCAGCCCTTCCAGCTGGGAACTGGGTCTCACCACCAGGGTGGAGGCTTCAGGCCCCTCTAGGGGCTCTTCCCGCCTTTCCTGTCCTCAGGAAGGTACATCCACACCCTGGAGACACCTCCCAACCTGGCGCCCACCTGTCTCTGGTCAACTGAGCAGGTGGGCAGCTGCCCCCTAGGGGGACTGTCCCTCTGCAGCCCAGCTCAGGTTCTGCTCTGGTGCCCCATGTTGCCCCTTCTAGCCCCCTCCCCTGTGTCTGGCTGTTCTGCTCTGCTGCTCTGGAGCCTTCCAGGCCTTGCACTGCTCCCACTGGTGGTTCTCTTGGGCTGGACTCTAAGACTTGGGCCCCCTGCCAGGATGGGTGGTGCTGCCCTACTGTCTCCCATGGCCATTTAGACAGGGAGCAGCCAGACCCTGGGTCTGAGGTCAGGTGTCTTTCCACTGGGCAGCAGGGTTTCCATGCCTCAATTCTGAGCCAGGACAAGGTTAAAGGGCACCAGATTCCAGCCCGTCCCAGGCCCTTATGGGAGACAGGAAGGGACTCCCTGCCCTAAGGGGGAAAGGGCCACTCTAGTCAGGATAGGGGAGTGTGCCTGAGAGTGTGTGTGCATGAGACATGTGGGAGAGTGAGCGTGTGTGAGTGCGTGTGAGACAATGCATGTGAGTGTGCATGAGAATCATGTGCGAGAGTGCATGTGCGTGAGAGTCATGTGTAAGAGTACATGTGCATGAGAGTGAAAATGTGTATGAGTCATGTATAAGAGTGCATGTGAGAATGTGTGAGTGTGCTTGAGAGTTGTGTAAAAATGTGTGTGCATGAGAGTGTGTGTGTGATGTATAAAAGTGCAGGTGCATGTGAGAATGTGTGAGTGTGCTTGAGAGTTGTGTAAGAGTATGTGTGCATGAGAGTGAGAATGTCTGTGAGTGTGCATGAGAGTTGTATAAGAGTGCAGGTACATGAGAGTGAGAATGTATGTGAGTGTGGATGAGGGTTGTGTGTTAGAGTGTGTGTGCATGAGAGTGAGTGTGTGAGTGTGCATGAGGGTCGTGTGTTAAAGTGTGTGTGCATAAGAGTGAGTGTGTGTGAGTGTGCATGAGGGTCGTGTGTTAGAGTGTGTGTGCATGAGAGGGGGTGTGTGAGTGTGGATGAGGGTCGTGTGTTAGAGTGTGTGTGCATGAGAGGGTGTG